CCGCGCCCCAGGCGAGCGCCCCAGCCCCCCCAGGCGAGCGCCCCAGCCAAACTGGAGAAGCCACAGGGCGGCGGGTCCCCGCGGGGAGCACTGGCTGTCTGGGGCGCTCGCCTGGCCGCGGTGGGGGACAGAGCTGGAGGCGCGTCCTGGTGCGCATCTGTGGGGGGCCAGCTCCCGCGCCCCCTTTCCTCCCCTGTGGCCAAGGCCGCGGGGAAGCCCTGGGCGCTGCGTGGCACCTGGCAGGGGCGGAGGGGCGTCTCTTGAGCGCAGCCTGTCCGGGGACTGTCACTCACCCAGGGGTCGGCTGGAGCCCAGCAGTGTCGGGGGAGCAGATTCTGGACCAGGACCCTGCCCCAGAACCCCGTGCACCTGGGCTTGCGGGACAACCCAGAAGCTCGGTCTCCCTCCCACAACGGCCCTCGGGACAGTGTCCCTGGCCATCGCCATCGCCTCCGAGTGTCTGGCCCTGGGCTGGGCGTCCAGTGGGTCAGGGATCTGCAGCACTTTCGGAGAAGGGCCAGGTTGTATTTTTGGTCTCTCAGACCACGCAGTGTCCGCCCAACCAGGCAGGAGAGCAGCCTGCAGACAGACACAGCTGTGTGCCAATAAAACTTTATTTACAAGCACAAACTGGGGGCCAGATTAGCCCGTGGGCCACAGATTGCTGACCCCCTGAGGTACGTGCCCAGGAATACTTGTTCCGGGGTGAGAGGGGTTCCTGGAGGAAGGGGGGGCAGGAGGAACATTCCAGGAAGGGAAACTGGCCCCAGGGTCTGTGCCCAGAGGGGTGGCCCTCCCCGGGGACCTGGGGCCAGGGCGGCTGCAGAGCAGGGCGGGTGCCTCCCAGAAGAGCTCTGGGACCGGTGCTCCCTCCCCCATCTGGCAGAAGTCCAAGGTCCCTTTGGAATTTTAGGGGCTAAGAGGACCCCAAACACCCCTCCTCCCCCTGCCCGGTAGCAGCCGGTGGTGGCCCCAGGGCCTGAGCCGCCCACACCCCGCTCAGGCGGGGCCCGATCGAGGACCCGCAGGGCATGGACCTCAGCTCCCGGTGACAGCCGGTCCACCGACCCTCTCGGTTTGCTTGGGGACGAGGAGCTCCCAGGCTCAAACCAGGAGAGCGGGCGCCGCTGGCCCGTGGGCCCCAGCTGCTGAGCACTGGCACCACTGCAGCCACAGTCACACCAGAGCCACGCGGGGCTCGGCCCAGAAGAGGGGGGGGAGGGCGTGAGTGCTAAGGCCCCAGGCCACCTCGGCGTCCCTGGCGACTGGCCACAGCAGGCAGGGGACAGTTCTGGCGGGCGGGGCGAGCCCTCTCCCCCTCCTCCTGGGTGCGGCACCAGCTCGGGCCTCCACCCTGGCCCCTCCCGCTCTCGCCCCCGCGTCGCTCCTCCCCGGAGCAGCCGCCAGAGGGCGCCCGGGAGCAGCCAGCCGGTCCTCCCAGTGCCCACCCCTGCGGGGCCTCCAGGGCCGCCCTCCCTGGGAGTCAGGCCCCAGGTCTTCAGGGTCTTCTCATCACTCAAGCCTCAGGTCGGATGTCACAGCAGGGCCCCGTGACCCCCAGTCGGCTGTATCTACCCCCGGGGATGCCAACGCGGGAAGGAGGGCAAGAGGGCAGCAGGAGGGGTGGCCGGCAGCAGAGGAGGGCGCCTCTGAGGAGTGGCGCCTGAGCACAGATCTGAAGGGGACCGAGTGAGGACAGTGGAACTGGGTGCGGTGGCAGGGCCCGTGCAAAGGCCCTGGGGCAGGGCTGAGCCGGGAGTGTTGGAGGGGCAGTGAGGCAGGGGGAGGGGAGAGGAAGAGCAGAAGGACGGGGCTCGGGCAGCTTGTGGGTCCTGTGAGGACCCCAGCCAAGGAGCGAGGGAGCGCGGCTGGAAGAGGAAAGCCGGGTCCCGGGGCAGCCGGCCCAGGCCACCTGCAGGGTTGTCCTGGTCCAGGGAGGTCCCCTTGAGCAGCAATCCCAGACATCCCGGTGTGTGGCCCTGTGGTCACTGTCACCGTGGCCTGTGGGAGGCAGGCGTCAGGCCCCGCCTCCCCACGGGCCACGCCCAGCACCTGGAGGCCTCCCTCCAGGCCCCACGTCTTCAAGGCTCCAGCACCTCCCGGTGGCTCTGGGGACCAAACCTCCCAGGGGGGCCTTTGGAGACCCTCCACATCACACTATGGCAGTGGCCAGAGAGGGCTCAGCCTCCCCTGCCTGCCTCCATGTCCTCGTTCGCAAATGAGTCGACGATGCTCCGTAGACAGAGGGTGAGCAGAGGGTGAAGAGGCGTCATCTTTGTCCTGATTTAAAATCCCCATTGGGAAGCCAGGCGCAGGAGTGAAGGCCAGGAGGCAGGGAGGCCAGGAGGCTACCCAGGCGGGAGGCCGGTGCTTCTGGTGAGGGTCTGCAACTCCCACACCTGCTGGGCTTGTTGAGGCCACGCTGAGGACCAGGTGGTGGGCGCAGCCCCTGCCCTGGCCTGCCACCTGCAGGTGAGAAGACCGAGGTCATTTCCCGTGACAGCCACCGAGCCAGGGCAGCCGGGGCCCTGGGTGCTGCCTGGCCCTTCCCTCCTCAGGAACAAGCACCTGCGGGTGCCCAGAACAGGCCAGTGGCCGCAGAGAACCCAGAGCATCCCCAGACCCCGAAGGAAAGCAGGGTTGGTGCCACTCCCGCCCCGGGCGCCCGCTGGGCCTCCCCGGACAAGGCCACAGCTGTGATTTATTCAATGGCCACAGAATGTGTGTTTAATTGATCCTCTGTCGTTAGCATTTAGGTCACATCTGACCGTCCTACTATAGGTGGCGAAGTGACACCCCCGGAACCCTCTCGCTCCCCTCTGATGATGTTCTCGGGAACCTGGAACCCAGTGACTCGGGCCCCAGGGCGTGCTCCCCTCCCCCCTCCCCTCCCCCTCCCCCACCCTCCTCCTCTCCCTCCTCCCCTCCTCCTCTCCCTCCTCCCCTCCTTCTGCCCTTCCTCCCCTCCTCCTCTCCCTGTGCCTTTGCCCTAAAGTGGTGTTTTTAGCACTCTCTGCCACGCCAGGCACAAAGGGAGTGTTCAGTAAGTGGCACTCTCGTTTTTATTGTAGCTCTTCTAAAAGGGGAGAGGAGGAACAAAGAGGGAAGGGGTCCAAATGTGTCCAGGTACCGT